GCCTAATGCATTCCATTTGTCAACCACTCTGACACTAAAAAAGTTCTTTCTAATATCTCTGTGGCTCATTTGGGCCATTTGTGTGTGTGTGTGTGTGTGTGTGTGTGTGTGTGTGTGTGTGTGTGTGTGTGTGTGTGTGTGTGTGTCAAGTTGCCATGGCAACGGTGTGAGAGGAAGGGGTAAGTCCAATCTTTCCTCTTAAGGCTCTCGTAGCACAGTTGGCTTCGTTCTGGATTCACCCTCGGGGATCCCGGATTCTATTCCCCGGGCAGAACAGAAATGGTTGGGCACGTATTTTAGGTGAGTCATGGTACTCACGTAAATACATTTCCACAGTCGAGCTCTATCTCCCGAGCTCCACTTTACCTCCCTCTATCATTCCTCCTTGGTCTATCTACCCTCCTTCTTATCTATCACTAGACTTACGAGGATCAAGATAACAGACTTGCCTTAATGTGTCTTCTGCGGCAGCTTGAGTCCCTCTACTTAATTACAGTCACTATAGTCATTAGGAAAATACCTTGCCACTAGCCTGGCGGCTGAGTGGACAGCGCTCGGGATTCGTAGTCCTAAGGGTCCGGGTTCGGTCCCCGGTGGAGGGGGAGACAAATAGGCAAAAAGTTTCTTCCACCCTGATGCCCCTGTTACCTAGCAGTAAATAGGTACCTGGGAGTTAGACAGCTGCTACGGGCTGCTTCCTGGGGATGTGTAACAAAAAGGAAGCCTGGTCGAGAACCGGGCCGCGGGGACGCTAAGCCCCGAAATCACCTCAAGATAACCTGACGATAGCCTCAAGGTAACCTCAAGATAATCTCAAGATAATCTCAACATAGTCTCAAGATAACCTCAAGATAACCTCAAGATAATCTCAAGATAACCTCAAGATAATCTCAAGATAACCTCAAGATAGCCTCAAGATAACCAGACAGCACAGCGCTCCCCGGAATACGGCCTCCTCCTCGTATACCAGTATATATATGTCTTAACACCTGTTCAACACCTGTTCAACACCTGTTGAGTGTGTGTCAAGGTGCCTCAAGCAGGCAGTTTGGGTCCCGTCATTTACCGCCATTCACCAACAGCCTCGTTTGCCTGTGCTCCTCTAATTGGCTTCGTTATCGACCTTGATGTATAAACTACATCCAGTAGCTGCTTGGTAAAATCCAGCTCCTGCTGGTGCTTGGTAAAAACCATCTCCTGCAGTTGCTTGGTAAAAACCAGCTCCAGCTGGTGCTTGGTAAAAACCATCTCCCGCAGTTGCTTGGTAAAAACCAGCTCCAGCTGGTGCTTGGTAAAAACCATCTCCCGCAGCGATAAGACCTAACAATAATGTATAATGATTAACAGTAAATACATAGCTATTAAAATGGCACATTCTCTGTAACTAGCTAACAGTATAATTACAAGGTGTGGAGGATAGATGTAATTGTTAATACAATAATCGTTGTGGTCTGATAAAAAAAAAATGCTCTCTGTAATGTTTGTTTTGTTTTGCGCTACCGCTCACAGGATGAGTATGGGGTGCACAATAAACTACCGCTCACAGGATGAGTATGGGGTGCACAATAAACTACCGCTCACAGGATGAGTATGGGGTGCACAATAAACTACCGCACACAGGCTGAGTATGGGGCGCACAATAAACTACCGCACACAGGCTGAGTATGGGGCGCACAATAAACTGCCGCACACAGGCTGAGTATGGGGTGCACAATAAACTACCGCTCACAGGATGAGTATGGGGTGCACAATAAACTACCGCACACAGGCTGAGTATGAGGTGCACAATAAACTACCGCTCACAGGATGAGTATGGGGTGCACAATAAACTACCGCACACAGGCTGAGTATGGGGTGCACAATAAACTAGCTGCCTTCAGCGCCAACAATAATAAAAAAATCAGGTTTAACCTCTCCCTCGATATATGTGTGATGGATAGTCACATATTTAATGCCTCGTGACGGCTGTCAGTATCAGGTACATGTAATCAGTGTACTCAACTAGTTGTGCTTGCGGATGGGGGGGGAGGGGGGTTGAGCTTTGGCTCTTTGGTCCCGCCTCTCAACTGTCAATCAACTGGTGTACAGATTCCTGAGCCTACTGGGCTCTATCATATCTACATTTGAAACTGTGTATGGAGTCAGCCTCCACCACATCACTGCCTAATGCATTCCATTTATTAATTACTCTGACACTGAAAAGTTCTTTCTAACGTCCCTGTGGCTCATGTGGGTACTCAGTCTCCACCTGTGTCCCCTTGTTCTTAGTTTATCCTGATAACAGAGTGTAAATATGGCCAGTACTTCAATATATTATAAATGCTAGACATTGAAATGTATTCAACATTGTGTACATATAAAACCATCCATGAAAATCCTTTATGTTAGGCTTCCTGTTGCCAGCACTCGGCTGTAATACTTTGCACGAGCTTGAGTTAAACTCTAGTTGCCACTTGTTGGGTCAATCTTTCAATCTATTTAGATGAGACAAGTCATGTCCTGGCAGAGTTGACGGAGTTTGTCAACACGCACAGCCACCTAAGATTACCGGGCTTAATTATAATAATAATTAATTATGTCTGGGACAGGCAGACTTTGTATATAAACAGGCTAAGGTCTCCCCTCCTCCTAATTAATTAATTAATAATAATTAATTTCTTCTGGAAATTATGTAAATTATGGAAATAAACATGTATCCAGGATTCTCCTGGATACATGTTTACTGATTAGTAAACAGAGGCATTAGGTGATAGGAAACGAGCCCAACTATTTCTGTCCCAGCCGCGATTCGAACCCGGGCTTCCTGATCCTGAGTCGAGAATGAACCCGACGGTACCACCTAGACCTTCCAAATATGCTCTCAACTCCCACACAGACTGAACAAATGACTAACGCTAACTTATCATATATCAAAATTCCGAGTTAGATGATAATATATAGTTAAGAAGAGACAACGCAGGAATAAATCATAGAAAAATACAAACATAAAAATAATAGCTAGAAACAGACAGAAGGACAAGGAAAGCAGGAAAGAAAAACATAGAAAACAGACAGAAGGACAAGGAAAGCAGGAAAGAAAAACATAGAAAACAGACAGAAGGACAAGGAAAGCAGGAAAGAAAAACATAGAAAACAGACAGAAGGACAAGGAAAGCAGGAAAGAAAAACATAGAAAACAGACAGAAGGACAAGGAAAGCAGGAAAGAAAAACATGGAAAACAGACAGAAGGACAAGGAAAGCAGGAAAGAAAAACATAGAAAACAGACAGAAGGACAAGGAAAGCAGGAAAGAAAAACATAGAAAACAGACAGAAGGACAAGGAAAGCAGGAAAGAAAAACATAGAAAACAGACAGAAGGACAAGGAAAGCAGGAAAGAAAAACATAGAAAACAGACAGAAGGACAAGGAAAGCAGGAAAGAAAAACATGGAAAACAGACAGAAGGACAAGGAAAGCAGGAAAGAAGGCCATGGTGATAGACAGCAGGACATAACTGGGACCCTTCACGACGGCTCCAAGTGACGAGAGCTGTCAAAGACCCCAAGACGAGGCCAGTTATAGACGCTCACAGACCCGTGAACACCCGCACGGAGTCGTCTTCCTCCAGCATCAATGGTCCCCCTTTGACAGCCCCTGTTGCTGGCCCTTGTCCCCCCCACGCAATTTACACTCCCTTAAATTACGTTTCTGAAGCAGCAGTGCTGTTTTAAAGGACGGTAAACAGTAAACAAGGGGGGGGGGGAAGTAAACTGGGGGGGTTGGGGTAGTCACGATCTATACCATGTTTACATGTAGTTGCTCTGACAGCCATCAGGCATGAGCCTTCTGACACAGTAGTTACCTAGCAGTAACCCCCAGCAACAGTGGTTACCTAGCAGTAGCCCCCAGGACCATTAGCTATGAAGCAGTAGTCCCAGCAACAGTGGTTACCTAGCAGTAGTCCTCAGGAACAGTAGTTACCTAGCAGTAGCCCCCAGGACCATTAGCTATGAAGCAGTAGTCCCAGCAACAGTGGTTACCTAGCAGTAGCCCCCAGCAACAGTAGTTACCTAGCAGTAGCCCCCAGGACCATTAGCTATGAAGCAATAATCCCAGAAATAGTGCAGCAGTAGTTCCGGAGAGAGAGTAGTTAAGAAGCAGTATCTGGTGGTGAGCTCAGCGTCTCGAGGAGCTTCACCCCACTTGACTACACTCTAAGTACACTGTGTACACTCTAGGTACACTGTGTACACTCTAGGTACACTCTGTGCCTATCTGGATACACTCTGGGGAGCAACAGTGTGTTGGTGCCTGCCTGCGTGTAAGTACTGAGGTCCACAGGGCGTTGTTACAAGGCGGAACGTGACAGGGTATAATCCCAGGATAACGGTCAAGGTATACCCAGGATAACGGTCAAGGTATACCCAGGATAACGGTGCGGGTGTAGTACACAGCGTGGGTGTATCCAGGACAACAGTTTAAGGGTAATGACAACCTATTCAGCTGTTTTTCATTCAGTAGAAGTTCACAATGGACGTCCTTCGTGTGACGTGACGTCATGAAGGCCCATTGATTATCCAGTCATTGATAAAACTTCAAGAATAGAGAGAGAGAGAGAGAGAGAGAGAGAGAGAGAGAGAGAGAGAGAGAGAGAGAGAGAGAGAGAGAGAGAGAGAGAGAGAGAGAGAGCTGGTCCATTTATAACCCTCAAACACATCAACCATCAACACAACAATGGGGAGGGAGTATGAGAAAATAAGAGAGCGCTGGATAGTTTTTATTCCCAGTTTCCTGACAGTATTTTCGATATACAGGTAAGAATACATCATAGCAACCAGGGGCCAGATTCACGAAGCAGTTACGCAAGTACTTACGAACGTGTACATCTTTCCTCAATCATTGACGGCTTTGTTTACAATTATTAAACAGTTAATGAGCTCCGAAACAGCAGGAGGCTGTTTATAACAATAACAACAGTTGATTGGGAAGTTTTCATGCTTGTAAACTGTTTAATAAATGTAAACAAAGCCGTCAAAGATTGAGGAAAGATGTACACGTTCGTAAGTACTTGTGTAACTGCTTCGTGAATCTGGCCCCAGGTGTGTATGGTGTGTCGTCACTGGAGGATGTATATATATACACCCATGTATGGCCAAGTATCATACACGAGGGTACGTGTATGGTCGTGGGGCTTCAGGATACATAATCACGTCACTATACAAAATAGATTTTAACATACAAAGGATACAATGGACGGCAATGTCTTTGTAAACAAGAAGATAGAATATATATATATATATATATATATATATATATATATATATATATATATATATATATATATATATATATATATATATATATATATATATATATATATATATATATATCCATATGTTTACTATACATGTGGTTACAACGTTTGTTGTGTATATGTATGTCCATAGTACGTAGCACATATACGTACACTGTAACCTTACTTCTTTCACACACTGTAACACTGCAACACTCTCCACCACCTGTACTGAACAGCTTCGCTACACTATCCTGTACACCTGCCTGTACACCACCTCTCTCCTGTACATCTGCATGGCAGCCATACGTATACAGTATACACATATGGCCTCAGAATACATATTTGTCTAGGCCCTCTGTTATCGTAATTGTCAATACTGTATATTCATTTTTTTTCCTTTATTAATACAATATACAGAAGTCACATTACTACAACATAATTTCACTTATGTAGAATGTTAATAATGATTAGCTCTGTTTCTAGTATTACAATACACATACATTTTTTTTAATTAATTTAACATTTGTTAAAACGTTTTGCAACACTGCGAGATATGTATCTGTTGTTAGTTTTGCGTCAGACCATAACATTGTTGTTCTCAATCCTGTGTGTGGTATTGAGCATCGGTGGGGGAGGGCATGGTCCTGTCAGAGCTGTGCACATTATTGGGTATACCCCAGGGACCACCTGGGTAAACAATGTACACTTCTGAGCTCATTACCGTCTACAGTACACTGCAGAGCACCGTTACAGAGGAGTTTACCATCTGTCCAGTTGGGGGCTACTGAAAGGCACAGAAGAGTATGAGTAACGGCGCCAGGAGGAGGAAGGTGAGGTAGACAGGCACTCTGGGATTACAGGTCGTGTCCAGCATGTACGAACGGTCCCACCTATCTTCCTGGGCCACTGTCACCAGCGTCTCCTCGTTCGACCAGAAGGCCAAGGGGACTAGACAGTCCGTGGTGTTCGTACAGACTCGTTGAGACTCCCGCGTGTCGTACTCTACTCGCTCGAGCGTCACGTTGAAGAACAGGTTATTGGCGGAAATCTCGTTGTCGCTGGAGAAGACAAAGTAGTAGGTTCCGGTGATGGGTATGTCGTAGACTACCTTGTTGGTCTCGGTCCAGCGGTAACTACAGCTGCGGTAGGCCACGAGGGGCAGGGCCATGATGACTCCCTCGCAGCTGGCCAGGGCCTCTTCGCTGCTGGAGAACGAGGAGACTTCCTCCTCGTTCGAACCATCCATGTAAGTGGTCTGGTTAAACTTCCCGCGCTCAAATTTCAACCCCTCTGGGAAAAAGATCTGTCCTCCAACCATTTTCTCGACTGAGTCATACGGATTCTTCGACTTGGAATTGAACTTGTTTCTGCCATGTTTGGTTATGGTGGAGTCCTCTTCGACGTCATCAAATATTTCAAAGGCGCCATCATAGTCTTCAGTTGGCTTCAATTCACGAACGCTTCTTTTTAATAACGTTTTTGCCTCGCCTGTTTTGTTTTGACTTCCTCCTGCAGCTGTTCCTTGAGGGGTCTCGGCCGATGAGGGAGGTAAGACTTCGTCTGAGTTAAGTCCCATCATGTGTCTGATTCTCTCTGGCAGCTTCTGGCTTCTTCCTCGTCCGACTGTGTGAAGAATTCGCAAGATTTCTTTCTTGCTCTTGCTCATCTTCACAGCTTGTCGAAGGAGCTCATGCAAGTCCTGACGTCTCTCCTCTGAGTGATCCTTAAAATTTAGGATATCGGTTTCAATAGTCTGTAACCCAGTGTCCTCAGTATCATCTCCTTCGGGCGGGAGTTCGTCTTGAGCTTCCGTGAGGTCCGGTTGTTGATCCTGCCGGTTCTGGCCGTCGACGTGTGCGCCGTGCTGAGTCTCGCTGTCCCCTGCGTGATCTTCAACGTCCTGTATCATTACTTCCTCGGCCGAGTCTTCTTCGCCGATCCAGGCACATCGCCGGAGGTTCTCCACGCCCCTCAAGATCATGAGCTGCGCGCCATTCGTGCTGCGGAAAGAATTTAGAGTGAGTCTCGACACCAGACCCCGAGACAAAACTGTTAATTTACATGCTGACTATTAAGATTTTAAGACATTATATACTCTAACCGGCACCAACCAACGGATCACTAAAACGGCCTCAACAAACCAAAAGAGGGAAATCATTCACAACACATTACACAACCTACGTCAGACCAGCCTTAGAATGTGAAACGCCAGATTCCCCACCGTGAGAAATGCAAGAAAAAGCAGACTAAAGAGAGAAGTAACACACAGGAAACAATAACACTACATACAACACTGAGTACAGCAGACAATGTAGAAAGAGTATAACAAACAGTAGAATTAGTATGCTGCCTTAGGGGAGGGGGTTCGAGTATGCCAGGAGGGTGACAGAAGGGTGATAACGAGTGATAGTAGTTGTGGAGGTAATTAACCCCCAGAGATATCCAGGGACCAGATGCCGTTGAACAATAAAACAGAAGCCATGAGGTGAACACAGTGGGCTCAGAACTAGGTGAGCGCCTCGCTTTACTAACGGAAGCATTCGACCAAATGCTCAAATTAAATATAAGAACAAAATAATAAAAGAAAGATAGCACATAAAACAATAAATAACGTGACCCAAACAATAAGTGCTTCCATCTCACAGATAAAAGATGGAAAAGTGATCCATCTTCTATCTTATGTCCACCCTTCCATCTTACAGATGGAAGAGTGGACATAACAGGGGGATCTATCAGCAGAGGTACACATCAGCAGGATAACGAGGGCAGCAAATGCCACACTGGCAAACGTCCCGTTATCCTTCACCAACTTGGACGAAGATCCCTTCCGATCACTGTATACATCCTCTGTGAGACCCATTCTTCAGTATGCTGCCCCAGCATGGAACCCCTACCTAAAGAAACACAAAGCAAAATTAGAAAAGGTTAAAAAAAATATGCAACAAGGCTTGTTCCTGAGTTAAGCGGACTGAACAGTGAACACAGTGAACACAGAAGCCGAGAGAACTGAGTCTCATCACAATGGGGAAATAAAGATTAGGGTAGACATACAAGATACTGTGGAGGATTGGCAAAGTGGGAATAGAAGCAATGTTCAAATTAAAGAACAATTGAACCAGGGAACATAACTGGAAACTGGGGACACAGATGAGTCAGTAACTGAAAACAATTCTCCAGTGTCAGGGTCGTAAATAAAGAGAATAGATTAGATAAGGAATTTGTCGAGGCCAATTCGATACACAGTTTTAAAATCAAACATGAAAAAAAAACGTATGAATTGAGTCATTACATCGTATCATTGACGGTCAGGTTCCTTAAGAGTAGACGTTTGACCCAAGAAATACATATAGACAAGATCATCTCGACGAGTACATTTAGACGAGTACTCCGCAGTTGATTACACACCTGGAGCAAGCGGAGACGGTGACTTTAGAGCCTTTGAGAAGATGGAAGCCCCAGTACTCCTTGACGTCGTCCTGGAGGGTGATGGAGTGAAGCATGTAGTATGTAGAGCGGTTAGCGCAGGTGGCAGGGTCGCCAGAGCTGAGGAAAGTGCTGTGACTGCCGTTCATGTGAGTCGTCTGCGACTGTGAGCGAGAGAGGGAAGACACCGGGTTAATACCTCATCTTTCTCTCATACACCATCATAAATACGAATTTTAGCACAAAGATCTGTGACCATCAGTGTTATTATAAATAGTTTGTGGAACCTCTTGGCCGTGTGTTCGCATTGTTCTTTATCTGAGTCTTACCACCTCCAGCCTACTATTTTCTGCTAATGCTTGTTACTCCTCATTTGGGAGGGCAGGAGAGCATGCAGTCATTGGGCAGCATCCTAGATACCCAGGACACAGCCTGGGTATCTAGAGGTGACGCATGTCGCATCGGAGGCGCATGTCCCCAGTCAAGAAAGGTAAATAAGAGCTTACTGAAAAGGTAAATATCAAACATGTGACAAGAAACATTTGCCACCACTATGATGGAACCGTCCACCTCCACAGTGATGGAACCGTCCGGCTCCACAATGACGGAACCGTCTGCGTCAAAACAACGTCCACCAGGACGTTGCTCCACGTCCACCAAAGCTGTCGGCAGCAAGCAGCAGCCAGACTCGCCAACATTCTTACCAAAGTCAGTAATTAATGCTCCTGGAAGCATCACAACTTGGCACAATTCTAATTGTTTGGAAATGCATGCCTTGTTGTACCACCAAGAAGTGACAAATTATTAGCGACCTCAGTAATTAGGGTTATTAATGAATTGCCTAGAGAAGGTAATCTAGTCCAACACCCCCTCCGAACTGGAGCAAAGAACATCAACCACAGAACGGCTAACAGTAACGTCCTGTAAACGTCAAAATTAGAACACAGTTTAGCAGGAAAATAGTTGTCAATACTGCAGGTGCAGTAAGAGTTATAAGCAGCGAGGACACAAGTGCTCCATGAACACCAGGGGCCAGATTCACGAAAGCACTTACGGAAGCACCTACGAACCTGTACATCTTTTCTCAGTCTTTGGCGGCTTTGTTTCCAATTATCAAACAGTTAATGAGCTCCGAAAACCAGGACGCTGTTTATAACAATAACAACAGTTGATTGGGAAGTTTTCATGCTTGTAAACTGTTTAATAAATGTAACCAAAGCCGTCAAAGATTGAGGAAAGATTTACACGTTCGTAAGTGCTTGCGCAAGTGCTTTCGTGAATCTGGCCCCAGGAGAGCACATGCTCTACAAGACTTAGAGCATGGCGCTCTCCCTACGTAGAGCTCCAGGGAACAACAGTGATACTTCCCCCTCTCCTGCTCCATAAATATAATAGGAATACCTAGGGCAGCCACATCTATATAGACAGTGAGAGGGCAAAAAGGGGCAATCAGAATCTGTTCAGAAAACCCACAGATTCATGGCTTGACTGTTGCTGCATGGCATCACCTCCAGCGTAACCATGACCTTGATGGAAAGGAAGGGAGGGAGGGGAGGAAGGGAGGCAGAGAAGCCAGTCATCATTGTCTGTGAAAGTGAGTGAAGTAAAGGCTCATCCTCCCTCATGTATGCTCCCGAGCGCTCACAGCCCGTGTCAGTGTGCACACTTCAGCAGTGTTCTCAGTCAATTCTCCTCGGTTCAAATGATGACATGAGTTTTGCTTGGATGACTGTAGTGTTTAAGGTTATCAGAATTAAAAGTCAAGACACAAAAAGATCCCTTTTTTTGGGAGGAGAGAGGTATGAAAGCAGGCGGGCTGTCCGCCTTGCTGACACGATGACCACAAAAGATCCCATTGTCTCAAAATAATGGGTGGTGCCAGCACTCTCCCCCCTTCCTCCCCTTTGGGTTATCTAAGAGTTATCTTGTTATCTTTGGAACTTTGGTTATCTTGGAACTTTGATCACATTCCCATGAACAGGCAAGTTCCCCCCCCTCTCTTCTCTTCCACCCTCTCTCCTCTCTTCTCTTCCACCCTCCTTCCCTGACCCTCCCCCATACTAGGCACCAACAGTGACCACATGCACCTAACACCAACAGTGACCCCACACACCTAACACCAACAGTGACCCCCACACACCAACAGTGACCCCCACACACCAACAGTGACCCCCACACACCAACAGTGACCCCCACACACCAACAGTGACCCCCACACACCAACAGTGACCACACACACATGTCACCAACAGTGACCCCCCACACACCAACAGTGACCACACACACATGTCACCAACAGTGACCACACACACGTCACCAACAGTGACCACACACACATGTCACCAACAGTGACCACACACACATGTCACCAACAGTGACCACACACACCAGTAGTGACCCCACACACCAGTAGTGACCCCACACACCTGGCACCAGACACTGGAGACGTGACGACTAAGGAGCCGCTGGTCAGTGGGCACCATGGGGTAGTGCCCCGGAGGGTAGAGGACCAGACGCACGTACAAGGGTATAGTGATGAGCAGCGCCGGCAGCACCAGCGCGAACACGCACAGCCGCACCACGCGACGCGGACCTCGTAGTAACTCTGCGTTGTCTGTGGGGGACAGTAAGGAAGTGCTCTCAATACCATTCATTTGTTTATGTATTATCTACCCCCATGTCCATGCCGTGGGTGGTGGTGGACCCCATGCCCATCCCGTGGGTGGTGGTGGACCCCATGCCCATCCCATGGGCGGTGGTGGACCCCATACACATCCCGTGGGCGGTGGTGGACCCCATACACATCCCGTGGGCGGTGGTGGACCCCATACACATCCCGTGGGTGGTGGTGGACCCCATACACATCCTGTGGGCGGTGGTGGACCCCATACACATCCCGTGGGCGGTGGTGGACCCCATACACATGCCGTGGGCGGTGGTGAAAGGGTTACAGAAGCACATAACGGGTTCAGGAACAGAACCCCATAGTTCGATTAGCTAAGCAAGTTACAATCTTTTTGACGCTAGTTACACAATTGTTTATTAGTATATTTTGGTAGCAGTCTTTCTTGTAAACATATGTTGTTGAATATGACCTAAAAGGTAAGATTAATGATTCTAACACGAATCTTCTCAATATTTATTGTTTTTCTTCAGTGTCGTGGGAAGTTGAAAAATTAACTCTTCAAAGTTCATTTTCACAATTTATTATGGACTGACGCTTAGGGATGCGCTTCGCAAGTCACTCCTTACATTTTTAAAGACCATTTTATCATGCTGTTGTTGATGTTTTAGATTCAGCTACTCAGAACAAAAAGTTACAAGTAGCACGGGCTATAGTGAGCCCGTAATTTTTATTTCATTTACCATGATTTTGCAAAGTCTTATATTCGCTTTGAGTGAGGTAGTACAGGACGTGATTGAGATGAACAAGTGGATGAAACATAATGGATATTAATAGACTATTACATGCATGAACATAAGCAGCTTATGTTCTTGCTTCTACTGTCTCTGTGTCGGCTCGGGGTCTTGAAGTGGGTAGAATGTAATTATGTGATTATATGTTAACTGGTTGTTGATTGCTGGTCTTGACTTCTTGATGTGTAGGGCTTCGCTGATGTCGAGTCTTTTGTTGTCGTTATACCTGTCGATTATTTCATTGTTTGTTAAGATGTCTCTGGTGATGGTCTGGTTGTGTGAGGAGATTATATGCTCCTTGATGGAGCCCTGTTGCTTGTTGAACAAGCGCAGGGCTCCAAAGGGACCAAAAGGCGGGACCAAAGAGCCGAAGTTCAACCCCCAGAAGCACAACTAGGTGAGTATACAGACGAGTGCCGAGGTCAGCAGGTGGTGGCACTGCCTGAGGGTCAGCACTCACTGCCGTACATGAGCGACCTAGGAGGAGCATCTGCTCAACACATCACAGGATATCACAGATTATCACCGTGATGCTGAGGTTATCCACGCCTCGCCGCCTCCCCCAAGCTGGTGTGTGTGTGTGTGTGTGTGTGTGTGTGTGTGTGTGTGTGTGTGTGTGTGTGTGTGTGTGTGTGTGTGTGTGTGTGTGTGTGACCTTACTAGGACACCTGACCCAGTTAGTCTCACCAGTGACTGTACTAGGACGCCTGACCCAGTTAGTCCCAGCGGTGACTGCCGTATACTGGACGCTCTACAACACGGAATAATTTGTTATTCTCACTGACTGATATTAATGGTTGTTGTTGTTGTTTTAGATTCAGCTACTGGGAACCAAACAGTTGCAAGTAGCACGGTCTATGGCGAGCCCGTAGTGAACTTACCTGGCACAGGAGCGGGGCTGTAACTTTGCTCTCAAGAATCTTGTTGTTGTTGTTGTTATTGTCTTAGATTCAATTATTCAATTATTAATGGTTCTTAGAGCTAAATATATATGGTAGGGTGCGGGTCGGAGGGTGAAGGGGCAGGCTGAGATTGAGTGAGTTTACAAAGGCCATCCTCATCAACAAAGGTCAAATGCTCGTTAATGCAGTCACCAAAATCCATGTTTATGATTGAAAAACGGTTTACACACAACCCGTCCTCAGACCAAGTCCATTCCATCCACGATCGACCCCCAAGGACGCATTCATTAATTTTAACATGCTGTTTATCCAAAATACAAATTTTCTCAAACATAAATTAATATTGTTAAATATTAGCATACCGTACCTATTTAGACATTGGTTAGGTTAGGTGTTTAGGTTCTGTTGGCGATTATTTGTATTTGTAGTACGTGGGTGAAGCATTTACAGCGTTGTGGTTCGAACAAAGGTAGTCAGTGAACCACTTGTTCCGGAAGTGTTCGAACGTCATCAGTTGTGAGTCGTGTGTAAACCGTTTTTCATTCATAAACAGAGGGTTTGGCGGGTGCATGGAATGGACTTTGGCCTTTAGTTTAGAGGATGGACTGGCCTGTATCAGCCCGTCCTCCAAACAAAGATCCAAAAGTGATTCCATGCACCCGCCAAACCCCCTGTTTATGAATGAAAAACGGTTTACACACGACTCACAACTGCTGACGTTCGAACATATCCGGAACAAGTGCTTCACTGACCAATTTTGTTCGAACCACAACGCTATAAATGCTTCACCCACGTACTACAAATACAAATAATCGCCAACAGAACCTAAACACCTAACCTATCCTATGCCTATATATACACAATATGCTAATATATTATAATATTAATTTATACTTGCGAAAATTCCCGTTTTGAATGAACAGCATGTTAAAATTTATGAATGCGTCTGTGGGGTCGACCGCTGGATGTAATGGACTTGAGTCGAGGACGGGTTGGACAGTTACACACGACTCACAACTGCCGACGTTCGAACACTTCTCGAACAGTGCTTCGCTGACGACCGCTGTTCGAACCACAACTGTAAATGCTTCACCCATAAGTAACAATACAAATAATGGCCAACAGATCCTAAACGCCTAAACCTAACCATACATTGAATTTCACAACATAATATTAATTTATATACGAGAACAAACGTATTTGTATTACTATGTTAATATTGATGAATGCGTTTCCAGGGGATGGCCTAACGAGCCGGGCCTGAGGACGGGTTGATTCGCCACTCGAAAAGTATTTAATTAAGGTAAACAAAGATGAAATGGTTTCGTAACTGAAGACAAGTGGTTGGTGACTGGTGGTGGTGAGGGGACAGTGTCTGGCGGTGAGAGTGACGGGCGGAGGACAGGTAGTTGAGGACAGTCATAATGACGGGATGGGCTGGGTGACCCCGGGCACCGCCGGCCAGGAGGCCAGCAGCCTCTGCTCAGCCACACTCTCCGGCAGTAAACAAGTCTGCTTCCCGCTGCACGTACCCTCTTGTTCTTCACGTGGGGACGTGCACATGCCACGCACACGCCGTCACGCACACGCCGTCACACACACGTCACGCACACGTCGTCACGCACACACCGTCACGCACACGCCATCACGCACACGCCGTCACGTACACACTGTCACGCACACGCCGTCACGTACACACTGTCACGCACACACTGTCACGCACACGCCAGACACACAACTTCTTTTTTTCTCAAATTCATCCACCTGTACAGGCAGGTGGAGCAGGTATACAGGCAGGTGGAGCAGGTATACAGGCAGGTGGAGCAGGTATACAGGCAGGTGGAGCGGGTATACAGGCAGGTGGAGCGGGTATACAGGCAGGTGGAGCAGGTATACAGGCAGGTGGAGCAGGTATACAGGCAGGTGGAGCAGGTCGCGCTCATATCAAACGCAACACAAAGTTAAACGGAATTCAATCCGAATAGTTGACCATATATATATATAAAATATTAATATACGGGACTGAGCAGAAGCATTTTCAAATTACATGGAAGAAACTATTTGGTCCTGTCACCAATAGGGACCCAAATTTCCAGTAAGGGCCACATACGAGGCCCCGACCGCCCTGGGGGCTGGCAAAGAATCAGATGATGTACATCCCCCACCCCCCTCTTCCCCCCACCACCACACATACACACACAGATAAGGTACTCCAGTGGATAAGGGAGTACCTAAGCAACAGAAAACAGCGAGTCATTGTGAGGGAGTGAGACCTTAGTATGGTGATTTGTCACCAGTGGAGTCTAATCATTAATGATGCTGGCGTTCGAATTCTTCGTCGAATCTGGCCTTAAAGCTGTGGATGGAGGTGGCTTCCACCACATATTCTTTCAGTGCATTCCACTTGAGGCCCCGCAGGTCAGTGTACGAGAACTGCCTTGTCTTTTTCCGTCTTATTTACGTTTCCAGCTTCCATTTTCGTCCTCTCGTCCCACTTTCTCTCATTTTAAAGCTGTCTTAATCCACATTGTTAATTTTTTCTCAGTATATTGTATGTGGTTATCATGTCCCTTTATTTTTTCTCTTCTACAGGGTTGTGACATCTGGTGTTCCTTAATTTATTCTGTGTGTGTGTGTGTGTGTGTGTGTGTGTGTACTCACTTATTTGTGCCTGCAGGATCGAGCGTTGGCTCTTGGATCCCGCCTTTCTAGCCATCGGTTGTTTAAAGCAATGACTCCTGTCCTGCTTCTCTATCATACCCAGTTGTAAAGCTATGAATAGAGTTTGCTTCCACAACCTGCTCCTTTAGTTCATTCCATTCCCCCACTACTCTCACGCTAAAACAAAACTTTCTAACATCTCTATGAATCATCTGAATTTCCAGCTCCCTAAGTTATCGAGTCCAATCCATAGAAAACGTCAATATTTTTTACCAGTTACTTTTCTTAATTGGGTGCATTTGTATCATTGTTGTTTTTAACGTAAGAAAAACGTGGAAAATTTGTTAACAGGACGGGTTGAGAGAGTAGTGGTCGGCACTCCTCCACGTCTCTCTCTCTCTCTCTCTCTCTCTCTCTCTCTCTCTCTCTCTCTCTCTCTCTCTCTCTCTCTCTCTCTCTCTCTCTCTCTCTCTCTCTCTCTCTCTCCCCCCCGCTGAGTGCCATCTCAATGATGTCATCGACTTCACTTCCCCCTGAGTGCCGGTCCCCTCTACCAAGGCAGTGGCCATGGTTGGCAAGCTGCAGGCCTCCTGTCCCCTTGGCAAGGACCACTGTACACTGTGACCACCAGGTG